GCTGATTAAATATAATTGATCAGTCACTTACAATTTCGATTTTTTTCCGAAAATCTAAGGGAAACAACACAGATGAAATAATAATTATGGCCATCAATATAGCGTGGTTTTTAGAAGCATCAGAATAAAACGCATATTACAAATAAGCGAAATCAATATTTGTAAAAATATGTAGCTTCGTGGGGATAAGTTTGACCGTGAATGAAATATTATTCCTTTTATTCAGTGGCGTAGGCAGGGGGGGGGTTAGGGGGGGGGGGGTCAGGGGGGTCATAACCCCCCATAGACCCCTCGGTATATAGAAAAAGTATGAGGGGGGTGCAAATCGAAAGTTTGAGTGGGGGGGGGGGTGCAAATCGAAAGTTTGAGGGGGGGGGGGTGCAAATCGAAAGTTTGAGGGGGTGGGGGGTGCAAATCGAAAGTTTGAGGGAGGTGCAAATCGAAAGCTTGAGGGGGGGGGGGGTGCAAATCGAAATCAAATTCAGTTTTAATTGTGTCGGACTTGTACAGATTTAATGTCTTATTTAAACTAAAGTCTTAGATTCTATCGTTTAAAATAGAATTTTAAAAAAACCTACTCATGCCTTACGTAATAGGTCCATAAAATTCTACACTAACTTGTCCAGAACACGATTAACTAAATGTAAAAAAGTGGATGTAACCTTTGTGTTGTTATACTTGGCAGGTAAAACCGTGTTCAATCACACCTCCTATATCATATAGCGCATAGCATGTTGGCACGCATTGCTTAATTTTATGATGGAGGAAAGCAATGGGGCAAACAGATGCTAAATTGCTTATCAAACATGTCTTTACGCAACATACTCCCAGCGTAGAGGTGTGTATGGGGGGGGGGGGGGGAGGGGAGGGTGATACCAGTAAAAACAATTATTGTAAATTAGATGGTGTAAGTTTGCGTCGCTTATTTTTGATAACATGCCAATTATCTTACATTAATTTTTCAATAAATTCTTCGTCTTCTTCGTTCTTAATTCGAGTGTTCTAAATTTATTTATAATTTTTCTAATTGTCTTTGATCAAACACCAATTGATAGACCACCTGTGATCAAAGACCCTCTGCTGAGAAAACACATGTGGTCAAACCCCCTATGGTCAAACCCCCTATGATCAAACCCCCTATGATCAAACCCCCTATGGTCAAAGCACCGCTATGGTCAAAGGCCCGCTGTGGTCAAACCCCCTATGGTCAAAGCCCCTATGGTCAAAGCTCCGCTGTGGTCAAACCCCCTATGGTCAAACCCCCTATGGTCAAAGCACCTGTGGTCAAAGGTCCGCGCACCAAAAAACAATTTAACTTTCAAATTGTTGTATAAACACATCTCAATATTTTTAATAACAAAAAACACTAGTTTGCCTTTTGTTTAATTATTTATAAATTTATTAACTTAAATCAATTGCTACATTCTGAACTAAATTCATGAAACTTTTTAAACGTCCTAGACACGGGCCTTTATTTTACAAAATTTCAAAGTACACTTTGCTTTTCTCTAAACAATGTTTTAGTTTTCATTTCACGATATATATATATATATATATATATATATATATATATATATATATATATATATATATATATATATATATATATATATATATATATATATATATAAATATATATATATATATATATATATATATATATATATATATATATATATATATATATATATATATATATATATATATATAAATATATATATATATATATATATATATATATATATATAAATAAATAAATAAATATATATATATATATATATATATATATATATATATATATATATATATATATATATATATATATATATATATATAAATATATATATATATATGTATATATATATATATATATATATATATATATATATATATATATATATATATATATAACTGTATTTGTGACACCATATATATAGTATCATATTTAAAGTACCGTATTGATAGTACTGTATTAGGTAGCTCTTAAGGAAAAAAACATGCCACAATCAGTGTCGGTTTGGTGATAGGGGGGTGGAGGGGGGTAGGGCGGGATGACAAGGTAAAAAACAAAACCTTGCTCAAGCTTTACCCGCTCCTGATCTGCTGTGTGGTTTTCTACAAACAGTAATTATTTTAATACATTAGTTCGTCTAGTTATCCAAATATTACACTTCATTAAAATGCGTAGGGTTTGTTATATTTTATGTATTTTTTTTATCTTAATCCCCCCCCCTCACCCCTCAGACATGTAATTTATAGCGTCAGTTTGTCTTGTCATGTTCGCTTTAGTATTACAGTTTTCATCATCGGCTTGCGAGGACTGATACAGATTTACGATAGAAATATATTTTTTTACTGACATGTTCTTTCATTCATTTAGGACATTTTTCTTATACATAATACATTGCATCTATTTACAATTATATTTTTTGCAGAAAATGCAAATGTGTATTTTAATGTTATGTTAAAATTGCGTCAATTAAAGAAAGAAAAAAACATGTTCTCCCATAAGAATCACTAGATCTAATGGTTAATGAAATGAAAGTGTTGAACCTTTACTAGTCTACGTGTCAGTTATTTGATTTAGATAGTTGTTTTCAATTAAATTTAGTTTCTAATTAAAAACTAACAATTTTAAAAAGTTTAACTAGCAAAGAAAATTTCATATGCAAATTAAAATTTACAAAATTAGTACCTAGCTCATTCTAACAAGGTAATCTTCGGACAAACGGTGATAAGGACTTGGAACTGGACCGCATCTCTCTGGCAGACAATGAAGATTGCCAGGTTGTGGGAGACATGAACAGCCACTCTCAGAGCTGGGGTTACCCTGATTTCAAAGGAAAGAAAATTGAAGAATGGCAAGCAGGAAGGCTTACACGTCTAAACAACCCTGATGACAAACCAGCTTTCTAGTCTAGAGCACGGTCAACCTCATCCATCTCAGACACAGCTTGTGCTACAAACGACACCAGCTGAAAACTTTGCTACAAACGATACCAGCTGAAAACTTTTCTACAAACGACACCAGCTGAACACTTTGCTACAAACGACACCAGCTGAAAACTTTTCTACATTTTACAATTTTAAAATTGTTTTGTTGAGATTTTTCAATAACTGATACCTCAACAAACGACCGGTGTGATAAGTTACTATGAAAATTGCTACCTGAAGTAATAAGAGGATCTACATATATATATATAATTCTCTTCATGGAGACCATAGAAAACACCACGCAGCTTAGCCACCACCCTCATCCCCACCTGTCAGTTGAGCTGTGGTTCACCCTGAATGTTTACAATCGTAGAGCTGGGATAGATAATTTAGTAGTAAACGATTTGAAACGAAGGGGAGGTAACAATTTCTGATTGATCTTTTCTTTGTCTGTAAACAGCTGCTTTCACTGGGAGGGGAGGTGGGGGGGGGGGGGAAGGAAGGGCGGTAGGGGGTAGTGTTGAATTCACAAATTATGAATTGCTAATAACCAGAAAATAAAACAACTAGATGGCGGCGTATACTACGTCGCGGGTCAGCTCGTTAATATAATTTTTGCAAAAACTGATGCCACTTGTTTAATTGGAGGGGGGGGGGGGGTGACACCAAGTGCAACTTTCACAGAACAATGTAGTGATCAGAACGAAATACACCACCCACCAAAGTGGATGGTCCTGACACCACATTGAAAAAAGTTGCACATCAAAAAATCCTCTGATGATGGCGGCTAACTAAAATATCAATGCTAAATTTCTTATCGAACATGTCATATTGTTATATCGTTTATTACCGAGTGTTGTAATAAGATAATAGTATTAATAGTATGTGAGCATCTTGACATCAAAAGAGACGCAGACTGCCTAGACCAGGGGTCGGCAACCTGCGGCTCGCAAGCTGCATGCGGCTCTTTTGATGTCAGGATGCGGCTCCCCAGTTCCATAATAATGATATTATTTTATTTTCATATAAAATTATATAAAAAATATTGTACTTGTGACCTACTTAGGTCTGTTTTGCTTTATGTATATTTAATCTCCTGAGTTATGTATTTGTCCTTGGGAGAATTGTCAGTTCACTGGTACAACCCGGTCAACTGAACGCTGTCACATCATGTGATTGTAAGTTTAATCCCTGGCAGAACCTCAACCAATGGACTTGCGACCGTGAGGATCCTTTACTGACCCTCAACCAATAGTCGTAAGACTTTTGAGTTATTTCCCCTTACTCTGAGTTGTATTTAATCACGGGATTCTCAAGTCCAGGGGGGCCGCCAGATTGACCTAGGGACCAGGAGAGGTGTGCCTGTGGTTAGGTACGCCATTTTGCAGTATTGCTATTTTGTGACATGATTTCACCTTTTGTATAAGGAATTATGTGACTAGTTGTAGTTTACTGAATTTGTGTTCTGGTGTATTATTACACCTTTTTGACTATCGGTGATAGTATTAACCTGTATAAGGATTTCTATTGTTGTAGAGGCAAATTGTCTCTCCTTGGTCTTTTGTTGTAATTATTATGAGGCCATTCAGTTGTGTGTAGTAATGATTTATCACAGCTGTGATATTGTGATTTTTCTCAAACTGTAAGTTGGAGTTGAGTTTATTTATATTACACTGAGAATCTGTACATTTTGATCTTACCTAGTGTCATTATCTTGTACATAAATTAAAAAGGTATTCATAGTTTAAGTCGTGTGAGTCTCTTCGATTTGTCGTGTTTTACCCCTAGACTGCATTAACGAGCTCACGGCAAGTTGTTGAGATTCCGTTACAACGTCTTCTATCGGTACCATACCAAACGAACCTGGGGCGTCCGCTTCCTCCGCGGCTGTCGGAGGTCGGACATAACAAGTGGGGGCTCGTCCGGGATTGAATGTTTTGTGTGCAAGTTTGGCACTAGTTTGAGTTTGTGATCAAGAGTTTGGTCAGTAGTTCGAAGAAGTTGAACTAGTTCTTGAGTAGTAGTTTTTGTTATCAGTTGAAGGTAAACATTGTTACTTTGTAGCTATGGAGGCTTTGTTGTTAAGTCCTACTGTGGAAGCAGTTGAGAACTTAAGTAGGAAAGATTTGATAACAGTTGTCAAAAAGTTAAACCTGGACTATATTGTTACTCAGACCTCTAGGGTGTTGAAGGACAAAGTTATTGTTTACTTCATTAATGAAGGCATGTTAGATGAGAGTCTCCTTTCTGAAGTTTTGGCACGGGAAGTGAAAATTGTTGATAGGGAGTTTGAGGCCAGACTAAAGTTAGAAAGAGAAGTTCAGATGAAGCGGTTAGAATATGAGTTTGGTATTATTGGCAGTAGTTTGAGGTCAGGAGGTCCTTCTCAGTTGTCTGTGGCCCAAACATTGGCCCAGTTTTGCAAATTAGTCCCTAAGTTTGATGAGTCAGATCTTGTCGTATTTTTTAATACATTTGAGAACATGGCTGAAAGTTGTCAATGGCCTAGTAACGTAGTCACGACGTTACTAAGCACTGTTTTAATTGGTAAGGCTGCCACCACATACCAGGCACTCTCTCGCGAAGTCCAGTCAGATTACAAAAAGGTCAAGGCTGCCATTCTGAAGGCTTACGAAATAACTCCAGAAGCCTACAGAATTAAGTTCAGAAAAATTAGGAAACAACAGAACCAAACCTATGTTGAGTTCCTTTTTGAAAAAGAAAAAGTCTTTTCAAGATGGCTCCATTCTGAGAATGTCGACGACTTCGACAAACTCAGAAGTCTGATACTGAGAGAAGATTTCCTCAACGCAGTACCTGAAGAGATCAGACTACACATCTTGGATAACCGAATAACAGACATCAAAAGGGCAGCAGAATCAGCTGATACATACGAGCTGGTACATAAGAAGTCACAGGGTTCTGGTACCAAATACAATCCGGTACTACCTCTCATCAGCAACAATCCCTCTGCTGGCCAGTTGCTGAGATCTCGTCAATCAACACAGATACCCAGAGTCACAGCCAGGCGACTGATCTGCCATTATTGTTCCAAGCCTGGGCACATCATCAAGAACTGTTTCCTGCGACAGCGAGACAACAGAGAGTATGTACGAACATCTCGTAACGCTCTCCCCCACCAAGCAAGTCCAAAGGTGAACCTCGCCCGTCGTGATGACCCTACGCCAGCGTGTCCACAGGGAGGTAACGAAGTGACCACCACTTCCGTTCAGTCATCTTATGACTATCCTCTTCACCAACCGGTTACATCAACAGCAACCAATGGTGAAGAATCGAGAACTGTTGGCTTCACGTCATTCATGACAGATGCTGTCATCAGCAACCCTGGAGACCCAACATCATCGCGGAACATCGTAGTCCTAAGAGACACTGGGGCTTCTCAGTCACTTTTGCTGAGAGACTCATTGAACATCGCTCCAGAAACCAACACCGGTGATGTCACCATCATTCAAGGAGTGGGAGCTGAACCAACAGTAGTTCCACTACATAAGTTCAACCTGAGACATCAGCTCATCCAAGGAGATGTCATCCTTGGGGTGATAGATTCCATACCTGTCCCAGGAGTACACCTGCTTCTAGGGAATGACCTTGCGGGAAGCAAAGTACACCCCTATACGGTTCAAAACCCTTTGTCAACAGTTCCAGATAATGATAATGAACTTTATCCTGCATGTGTGGTGACAAGAAGCCAGACCAAACAATTGGCTGACATAGCGCATGGACCACACCTACCATCATCGTCGGCAGATCCATCTCCCAAACTGGGGTCTATGCTTCCAGAGAACACAAGCCTGGGCTTACCCCTGAGGATATCTCAGGAAGACATCATTAAAGCTCAGCAAGTCGACGCGGAACTCAAAGCAATGGTCGAAAGATCACTCTCAGCTGACGATGGGGAGTATTTCTCCGAGAATGATCTCTTCTTTCGTCGCTCTGTACCAGTGGATGCCTCACCTGCTGAACCATGGTTGGGTAAAAACCAGCTGTGGGTTCCTCCACCTTATCGGCATGAAATACTGAAACTGGCACATGACCATCCGATGGCAGCGCACCCAGGAGTCAAGAAAACCCTGGCGAAGATCAAAGAACTGTATTTTTGGCCGAAAATGAGAAATGATGTGTCGCGTTACTGCAAAAGTTGCACGAACTGTCAGCTGGCCGGGAAGCCCAACCAGAACATTCCTAAGGCCCCTTTGAATCCAATTCCTGTGTTAAAAGAACCCTTCTCCAAAATCATCATGGACTGTGTAGGTCCCTTGCCTAAAACCAAGGCCGGTAACGAGTACTTACTTACCTTTATGTGTTCAAGTACCCGTTTTCCCGAGGCGTTCCCCTTACGGAACATTAAGGCAAAGACCGTAGTCAGAGCCATGACACGGTTTTTCACTACCTTTGGATTACCTAGAATCGTTCAAACAGACCAAGGTAGCAACTTCACCAGCCACCATTTTCAGGAAGCGCTAGACAAGCTAGGCGTCACCCACGTCACCAGCTCAGCCTACCACCCTCAGTCTCAAGGTGTACTTGAGAGGTTTCACCAGTCACTGAAAACCATGCTGAGAACGTTCGTTAAAAGTAACACCCAATGGGACGAAACTGTTCCATGGATTATTTTCGCCGCTAGAGACTGTGTTCAGGAGTCCCTAGGTTTCTCTCCTTTTCAGCTTGTGTTTGGACATTCTGTCCGTGGTCCCCTGAAGCTGATCCACGAGCGTTGGACAGGTACCAGTAAAGATCCTGTGGAGAACTTTGACGATTTTCACGTTCGATTGAAAGCCGTGTGCGAATTGGCTCACAAGAATTTAAAAAAGGCCCAAGTGAGAATGAAAGGACTGTATGATAAGAGTTCGCGTAAACGAACATTCAATCCAGGCGAGAAAGTTCTTGTGCTAGTGCCTAACCTGGACAATGCGTTATCCCTAAGATATTGTGGGCCCTTTACGGTGCATTCAAAATTAAGTGATTTGAACTATGTTGTCAATACGCCAGATAGAAGAAAGAAACAGACAGTGTATCATGTTAACTCACTGAAAAAGTATTATGATAATTGTAACAATTTTCATTCCACAGCTAAAATTACTTTACCTGTGTGTTCAAATGTTTCTGATGATGTGATACATGATAAACTGAAACCCCCAAAATTGCTAAATTCTTCTTTTTTAAATCATTTAAATGACCACCTTGTGCATTTGTCCATTGAGGAAAGCCAGAGATTGTCTCAGTTATTCGAGACATTTCCATCTATTTTTGGGGATGTCCCCAAAGAAGCAAAGGTACCACCTCATGATGTAGATGTAGGAGATGCAAAGGCGGTCAAACAACATCCCTATAGAGTTAACCCAGAAAAAGCTATTTTGATAAAAGATGAAATTGATTACATGATCAAGAATGATATCATTGAACCCAGTTTCAGCAACTGGAGTTCCCCCTGCCTGTTAGTCCCGAAAGACGGTGGATCTTTCAGGTTTGTGACCGACTTTAGAAAGGTTAATGCGCTCACCAAAGCTGATTCATATCCATTACCTCGGATAGAGGACGTTATTGATAAAGTTGGTCAAGCTAAGATAATGTCCAAAATTGATCTACTGTCAGGATACTGGCAAATCCCCTTATCTGACCGTGCAAAAGAAATATCTGCTTTTGTAACCCCTAATGGTTTTTATAGATACAAACGTATGCCTTTTGGTATGCGAAATGCTGGTCAAACATTCCAGCGTACCATTAACTCTGTCATTGCTGACATTGACCAATGTGAGTCCTACATAGATGATATAGTTGTATTTTCTGATACTTTTGAAGAGCATATTGTTCAGTTAACTAACCTTTTTAGAAAATTGTCTGAAGTTAATTTTACTGTAAACTTGCATAAAAGTGATTTTTGTAAAGGTTCAATTACCTATTTGGGTTATCAAGTGGGAACTAACCAAGTTAGGCCCATTGAAGCCAAAGTAGATGCTATTGTGAAGTTGCCTCCTCCCAAAAATTGTAAAGAAATCAAAAAGTTCCTTGGGATTGCAGGTTACTATAGGCGGTTTTGTAAAAACTTTTCAGCTGTAGCTGAACCACTTACGGCCTTATTGAAAAAGGGTGTTGAGTTGGAATGGTCAACTAAATGTCATGAAGCCTTTTTGACCATTAAGTCATTTTTATCTAATGCTCCTGTTATGGCTGCACCAGATTTCAGCAAGCCTTTTAAACTTGCCATTGATGCTAGCAATTTAGCCATTGGCTCAGTCTTATTCCAGGAAGACAACCGAGGGATCGATCATCCAATAGCCTTTTTCTCTAGAAAGTTAAATGAGAATCAAAAGAATTATTCCACTATTGAAAAAGAAGCTTTAGCTTTGGTTTTGTCCTTACAACATTTTGAAGTCTATGTCACTTCTTCCATCAATCCAGTCATGGTATTTTCTGATCATGATCCTCTTAAAATCACTACTAAGTTGGGACAGAATAACAACAGAATTTTAAGATGGTGTCTATTTTTCCAAAATTTTAATCTGGTTATTTCCCATATTAAAGGAACTGACAACATTGTAGCTGACTGTTTGTCAAGAATGTAAAACAACTTTTGATGTTCACCTTAATCTTGTGAAACTTTTTTGGTTAGTTATAACCATTTTGCAAATGTTATGGTTGATTAAACTGTAGCCTGGTGGCTGGAGTTCCAAGCTTTCAGTCAGATCAGGATTGTACGTTTTGTACGAAACTAATTACTTGTTGAAAATGCCTGTTATTTTCAAATGAACCTTATTTAAGGTGGTTTTGTATAATGTGCATTGAGTTGTTATAAAAATGTATCACATTATTTAGTTGATGTTGTAGTGGGACGTTTAAATAAAGGAATTAAGTTGTAAGTTTCCCACATATTATATCCAGATGGATATGTTTGGTTTCCTTTGCATAAGGAACTTTGATGTATTATTACTTTGGGAAGGATTGTTTCCCTTTGGTAAATTTTAAAAAGGTGAATTGTTTCCCTTTAATTTTTAAGGATGTTTTTTATTGACATAGAAATTTTGTTAGTTACTATAATTGGACATTTTTTGTGTCAGATTTGTTCCATATAGTGATTGCCATTTTTGTGTAACAAAAATGCCTCTCTAAAAGGGAGGGGATGTGACCTACTTAGGTCTGTTTTGCTTTATGTATATTTAATCTCCTGAGTTATGTATTTGTCCTTGGGAGAATTGTCAGTTCACTGGTACAACCCGGTCAACTGAACGCTGTCACATCATGTGATTGTAAGTTTAATCCCTGGCAGAACCTCAACCAATGGACTTGCGACCGTGAGGATCCTTTACTGACCCTCAACCAATAGTCGTAAGACTTTTGAGTTATTTCCCCTTACTCTGAGTTGTATTTAATCAAGGGATTCTCAAGTCCAGGGGGGCCGCCAGATTGACCTAGGGACCAGGAGAGGTGTGCCTGTGGTTAGGTACGCCATTTTGCAGTATTGCTATTTTGTGACATGATTTCACCTTTTGTATAAGGAATTATGTGACTAGTTGTAGTTTACTGAATTTGTGTTCTGGTGTATTATTACACCTTTTTGACTATCGGTGATAGTATTAACCTGTATAAGGATTTCTATTGTTGTAGAGGCAAATTGTCTCTCCTTGGTCTTTTGTTGTAATTATTATGAGGCCATTCAGTTGTGTGTAGTAATGATTTATCACAGCTGTGATATTGTGATTTTTCTCAAACTGTAAGTTGGAGTTGAGTTTATTTATATTACACTGAGAATCTGTACATTTTGATCTTACCTAGTGTCATTATCTTGTACATAAATTAAAAAGGTATTCATAGTTTAAGTCGTGTGAGTCTCTTCGATTTGTCGTGTTTTACCCCTAGACTGCATTAACGAGCTCACGGCAAGTTGTTGAGATTCCGTTACAACGTCTTCTATCGGTACCATACCAAACGAACCTGGGGCGTCCGCTTCCTCCGCGGCTGTCGGAGGTCGGACATAACATACTGGAAAACAACTTTAAACAAAATAAAAACACTAAGAATAGGTGGAGTAGAGCGTATACAAAAAGCTGACAGCTGCATTGACACAAGGCCCAGCCCCACAACTGTGATGTGGCCAGCCCCGTGGCAGTGGTTCCATGCTTTCAACTACCGAAGTGCACTTTTTTTTTTCAAATATTTTCGATAGTAAAGGTTATTTTAATCAGAAGGCATATTTGTGCGTTTTACCGTGCAATTATTTAACTTGAGTGGCAAATTCTTATAGTTATTAGCCTCTAAATTGGGTAGGGATAGTTTTATAATTGTTTTTTATTATCCTTAAAAACTGGTTGAAATACTTTATTTTTTATACTTAAACTCATAAAAATTTTTTATTTAGCTAATCCTAATGCCGACCCGTGGCCTAGATCTAAAGTGTGTACTATTTTCAATTATTTTCTTTTATAAATATTTTTTTTTTTTTTTTTATGATACAAATTTTAAGTATACGAGAAAGTAAATATGATGACCCTAGATAAATTTAAAAAAATCAAGTAATAGGTCATTATAAAATTAAAACAACATTCATGTGTACCGACAATTGTTAAAACTGAACTTTCTCATCATATCTGCAAGTCAATTCTTTCATTCAGCTAGCTGTTAGCAATTAAAATTTGAAACTGATAAAAATTTAAAATTACAAAACAAAGGCTAAACGATCCTTTTTATAAGATGTTAAAATTTTTCTAGTTTTGATTTACAATGCAAACAATGTTTTGTATTTTCAAAAATTATTTATTAATTTCTTTGTACATTTAGCCATTTTTGGGAGCAAACTTGTAGGTTATTCTTCTTGGTTAATTTAAATTTATAAGTGGAAATTAGCGTAAGCGAATTTATAAAAAAAAAGTTCTTGGTTCGGATTTAATATAATAAATTCACATGAAATTTAAATGAGCAAGATGAAAGCCCACATTTACCATATACAAATGTTTATTTCGAATATAAAGGCTTAAGTATCTATAATACTGTATTTACGACACTCTATTATACTATATATAGTGCCATATTTAAATTACTGTATTTATACTATTGTATTAGGAAACATTTTTAAAGGTAAAAACATGCCAATACCAGTGTCGGTTTGGTGAAGGGGGGGGGGGAGGAGGGGGGGGGGAAGATGACAAGGCACAAACCGAAACCTTGCTCAAGCTTTACCCTCGCCTGATTTGCAATGTGGTTTTCTACAAAAAGTAAATATTAATAAAAAATTACATAAACCTAGATGTAACAGTACTCAAGTTATCGTGTTTACAGACATACGTACACACACAGACGTACGGACAAATTTGCAAAACTATGTTTCTCCGACTTAGGGAGGTGTGAATTGTCGATATCTGTGAAAATCTCGATTTTTTTTTGCACGATTACAATACTTCCTCTATGAGAAAGTAAATTTATTTGTTTTGTTTTTAGTTTTCTCTTTTTTTCTGCATGAGACATGTTGTTTACAGCGTTGCCTTGCAAGTTTGCTTTAGTATTAGTTTTCATCATCGGCTTGCTTGTGAGGACTGATACAGATTAACAATAGTAATATTTACTTTTAGCCTAATTTTATTCATTTAAGATGGTTTACTTAAACATAGATCAAATTCAAAACGTATATATATATATATAAAAAAAATAAACATAAAAATGCAAATGTGTAATTAAATGATGATTCAAGGAATTTTTTATCCATCGGCGTGGTGATCTAAGAGGTGGGGGGGGGGGGGGGATTTGGTTTTTAATTGTAGCTGAAATAAATTTGGAATTACAGAGAATTAAATGATAACAAATTTGAATATACGAGAAAGAAAATATGATGAAACAAAGGGGAGTTAACATTTTTGGATTGATCTTTTATTTGTCTTTAAACGGCTGCTTTCACAGGGAGGGAAGGGGGGGGGGGGCGGAAGGAGGTAGTGTTGAATTCACAAATTATGAATTGCTAATAGCCAGAAAATAAAACAAATAGATGGCGGCGTATACTACGTCGCGGGTCATCTCGTTAATATAATTTTTTGCAAAAACTGTTGCCACTTGTTTAATTGGAGGGGATTGGGGGGATGGGTGACACCAAATGCAACTTTCACAGAACAATGTAGTGATCAGAACGAAATACACCACTCACCAAAGTGGATGGGCCTGACACCACATTGAAAAAAAATTGCAAATCAATAAATCCTTTGATGATGGGGCGTGGCGGCTAATTAAAGTATCAATGCTAAATTTCTTATCGAACATGTCATCATGTAACAGCCTCCCAGCGTTGAGGTGTGTGTGGGGGGGGGGGGGGGGAGGGTGACACCAGTAAAACAATAATTGTAAATTAGATGGTGTAAGTTTGCTTCAGTAATTTCAGAAAACATGACATCTTAAAAAATTTTAGATTTATTTCTAGATTTATTTCTAATATTTCAAATTGGTATTGGTAGCCCATGTTATACTAAATGTGTGTGGATATTTTACTATTTAGTTTTTTTTTTTTGCTTTTCCACTAATATTGTTCAATGTGTAGTAAAGCACATTGCGCTTTGACCAATAACTATTTCATAAAATATTTTTCTCAAACAAGTATAGCGTTACAAAAATATATGCCTATAATTCATGTGTAACGGGTACCGATCGCTAAAATATATATATATATATATATATATATATATATATATATATATATATATATATATATATATATATATATATATATAATATATACATATATGAATATATTTTTATTTTTTAAATTTTTTTTTCGGAGTGGGTGTACACCCGACCTGGCGACGCTAAAGCCTAGGACAGGGGTCGGCAACCTGCGGCTCGCGAGCCGCATGCGGCTCTTTTGATGTCGAGATGCGGCTCTCCAGCTCCTTGCACGAATATTAAGTTATATTATTTCATTTTCAAAACTCATAACAAATATTATACTGTAAAGAAAAACAACAGGATAAAACACTCAGCAGAGAACAGTGAGAATAGGTGGAGTAGAGGGTAGACAGCTGACAGCCGCTTGGGCACCAGTGCCAGCCCCACAGCCGTGGTGTGGACAGCACCATGGCAACAATTCCGTGATTTTAACTAACAAATCAAATTTATTTACCAAATCCTAATCAAATACCATAATATTGAAATAATAATGTGGCTCTTTATAAATTGGGATATTTGTAAATTGTAACTTTTGGCTCTTCCGTCTCAAAAGGTTGCTGACCTCTGGCCTAGGACTTAGAGTATGTACTATTTTCAATTATTTTCTTTTTAAGTAAATTAAAACAACAGAGCTAAATTGAAAGTTGTGTGGCAAATCGTCGATAAGAAGAAATTGTTAAAACTGAACTTTCTCATCATCTCTACTATTCAAGTCTTTAATTCTGCTAGCTGTTTGCAATTAAAATTTGAGCCTGGTAATAATCAAAATTAAAAATACAAAAATTAAACAATCACTTTTATAAGAAATAAAAATAATTTTGTTTCTGTTTATACTGTAAACAATGTTTTGTATATTTTTCAATTATTTATGAATTTCTTTGTACATTTAGCCATTTTTGGGA